TGGCGGAGGTGGTGAGACTCGACGGAGAAAATAGCTGCACAACTGGACGAACAAAACAGATATATATCTGGAAAAGAAATCGGGGCTACCTTTTTCTTTTGTCTAAATTAAATAAAAACATGTTCTGGCAAGAAATCGGGGCTATTTTTTTGTCAAAATTAAATAAAAATATGTTGCCCAACCTGACGTCCATCGTGCAAAGATGTCATGGCCTCTTGCCCCTTGGCTGATCCCGCCAAATTCCCGTGTCGTTTACGATGGTTGCTGAAGTTCTCGAAATGATATTTATATCGAATAAAGTTTGAAGTATCTTCTCTTAAACAAACTGGACTCTTCGCGTACATACAAGTCCTTTCCATTGGTTGGAGCACCAGAGATGAGCGATATTTATTTATTTTGAAGAAGAAAGCCACACAACCCCAAGAAACTAGAAGGCGTTTCAAAAAAAAAAAACTAAAAGCGGTTCAGATGGAGATTGAAGTAGAGGCATTGGGGATTTTCTAATTGTTTGCCACCGATATCATGGCCACCTCTCTATTTGTTAGTTTTATCGTGCTAACTACAAATTTACCCTGGAAAACAGTGACCGACATAATATTTTGTCATTTCCGCTTGATCTGGCACACCATTTCAGCGTGCCACGGTGAAACTTAACAGCTCCGTCTACCCAGTCCCAACGGCGCTAGCAGCTGCCCATCAACCCAGCCACTACTAGTGGGGCCTAGCCGTCAGTACCTTCTTCCTCCCTCAACCTCCACCTTGTATCTATGGAGACGACGATGGAGCGGGTTGGAACTCCGGCCAGGTGCGTCCACCTCATTCACTTCCACGACGACGACCTCCTCCACGCTCTCCTTCCACGACGTCGTTGAGGGCCCGCGGAGGAGACGACTGCCGTGGTTGTCCTCACCGACGCAGGAGCAGTGCCTGCAGGGTGAGACTCCAAGCGTGATGTGAGGTGCTGGTCAGTGACGGATGCAGAACAGAATTGAAGGAGAGGCTGATCTCTTCTTCTTCCTCTCTGGCTCTCTCTCTCTCTATTTTTCTCTTTCCTCTACCTCTTCTTCTCCGTCACCCTCCCCATATGCTGGTGGTGGTGGGCGGGGGAACGGAGAGGGTATCTGGGCGTGACTGGGCGTGAGTAGCAGTCCCCGCTAATTCCATAGCCTTGGAGAGCTGGCTACTAGACAGAGCCTTATCTTCTCATCCTCACGACTGCACTGCATCTTATCCTATCCTATGTATTCAAACACCAACCCACCAGACCTCTCTTCCCATTCTATCACAAAAGGGAGATTTATCTATTTGGCACTGAAATAAATCATTTTTTCGTATTTGGCATTCGAAATTTTGAATTTTCTTATCTAGCACTAAGTTGAAAATTTCTTCTGTAAATGACACTTCCGTCTATTTTCACCGTCCATCTGTTAGTTGACTGGTTCAACCTCGTCAGTTTAGTTTCCGTATGTCCAATATATCCCTGTGTTACTCACGCGTGCAATTTGGCCAGGCCAGTAGTTATTGTAGAGAGAGGGTATAGTAAGAATAAATCGTTTCCTTACAAAGGAATGACGTCCTCACGTGGTTCAACGCAGGAAGAAACGAGAGAAATTGCGTTGGGGCAGAAACGACTGGTTTCCTCCGGATCTGGTGCGCTGCAGCTTGAGCGAGCACGGTGGGGGCACGGGCGACCGGGCCAGCGAGCGAGCAAGGCGGCGGCATGGGCGACCGCGGCCAACGAGCGAGCACGGCGGCGCGGGCGAGCGCGGCCACGCTGGCCAGCACGGCGACGCGGGCGAGCGCGGCTAGCAAGCAAGCATGGCGGCGTGGGCAGCACAAAGCGAGCGTGGGTGAGCATGGCGTTCGCCCCGCTCCCACGCGCCCGCCCCGGAGTTTTCGGGTGCCTAGGTGCGCACGGAAAGCCGTGGGCCACGCATGGCGTCGGATGTGTTGGTGGCGTCGGCGGCCGCGGACGGCGACGGGCTCCTTGACGCCGCTGAGTTCGCGCGGCTCGTGACGTGCCTGCATGCGGAGGCCGGCAGGCTCTACTACTAGAGCGCCAAGCTCGCCGGCAAGGACAGGACCTCGCCTAGTGGCCGTTCCTTGGATCCGGCGCCGCCAGCTACGGCTTCTCCGCACGCCCCGGGCTCGCCTCCCACTCCCCCGCTGAGGCCGCGGCGCGCGCCTACGACGCCGCGCTGCTCTGCCTCGAGGAATCGGCGGCCGTGGTGGATCTCAACTTCCCGTTCCGCCTCCCGTTCTACCTGCCCCCCGCAACCATGTTGCCCAAGGCCATCCAGCGCGTGGCCGCTGCGGCCACGCTTGGGCAGCATCTGCTGCGGCACCAGCGACCTGCGCTCAGAATAATGGCAGTGCCTGCAGCGATGATGACGGCGACACCACCCCGGCGTGGGGTAGCAACTCGCCCACCAGCGACGTCTCCTCCCCAGAGTCGATCGTCAGCCGCGAGAGTGAGCTGGCCTACTACTTTGACGGCGACGGCGTGCTCAGGTTCGACGAGTCCAAGGTCACGATGAACACAGCAAGCAGCCTTGTGCAGCAGCAGCAGCATGCGTGCAGAAGTAGCAACAGCGTGCATACATGCTACAAACGCCTACTACAAACAAGGACTTACGTCATTTTGCAAGCCACTTAACATCGTTACTGGTGAAAATAGACAGTAGTGCTATTTACGGATGAAAATTTCAACTTAATTTCAGATAAAAAAATTCAAAATTTTTAGTACCAAAAGACTGGTTTATTTGAGTGGCAAATAGATAATTCTCTCGTCACAGAATCCACCTCTCTGTCCACCAGGCGCCGGGGAGCCAAACCCGACCGCGGACGCCACCAGAGAGAGGAGCCCGCGGAGACGGAGACGGAGGACGAGCGGGAGCGGGAACGACGGTCCGCGGAGCTCTCCAAGCTCGCGGCAAGCGTGCTCCTGGCGCAGCGGATGTCCTCGGTCAACGCGCTCTCGGCGCTGTGCAAGGCCACCGGCGCCGACGACTCGTCGCGGGCTGGCCACGGCTAGCAGCTAGCTGGCGTCGTCCGGCTCGGCGTGCGGGCAGCAGAGCTGTCCGGGCTAGCACCAGGCTGGGCCTCGTCTCCGAGGAGGCCGCCGGCGAGAGGGTGGCGGATGGCGGATGGCGAGGAAGACGAGGGCGCGGTGAGGCTGTTCGTGGGCCCCCCGGTGGTCTCCGACGGCCGCGGCGTGAGCTGCCCGAGGGCCGTCTCGGCGGCGCTACGCGCGCTCAAGCTGCTCGGCGTCGACGACGTCGAGCTGCCGGTGTCCTGACCTCATGGGCGAGTAAGACGAGCTGCCGGTGTCCTGCGCACGCTCAAGCTGCCGGTGTCCTGGGCGAGGAAGACGAGCTGCCGGTGTCCTAGGCGAGGAACTCGAGCTGCCGGTATCCGCGTCTCGCTCCGCACCGACGGAGGCTGCAGGTGCTTCTCGCGCTCAAGGCCAGCACCGTCTGGCGACGCCATGGACGCCGTCTCCTACGCGGGTGTGGCCGTGTGGGGTCGAAGGGCACACGGGCCGTCCAAGCACGTGCCCAGGAAGAAGACGACGACGCCGTTGAGGCTGGGCAGACGGACGCGTTAAGTTCCACCGTGGCGCGTTGGAGTGGCGTGCCACGTAAGTGAAAAATGGTAAAATATTTGGTTACGATTTTCCGGGATAAATTTATAATTGGCACAGTAAAACTAGGAAAAGACCATGATATCAGTGGCAAATGATTAGAAATCCCAGACAACGGAGGAGAACGGCGGCGCTAGCACGACGAAGTGGAGTACCTCCAGACCGTCAGCGGGAACGCCGCTGGAGGCCGCGGGGACCATGAGTATCCGCGCAGAGCTTGACCGCGTCTTCTCGTCGGTCGACGGCTCGGGCCCACGGCCAGTGCTGACGCTTGGCAGCGGTGACCCCACCGCCTTGCCCTGCTTCAGGCCTCCGCCCGAGGCCGAGGACGCCATAGTGGAGGCGTTTCGAGCTGGGAAGCACAACGGTTACTGACCGACAGTCGGCGTCCTCCCGGTGCGCCGGTGAGACTCCCTGCCCCTCATCTGTGCAGTATGCGATGCGAGTGTCTCAAAAATCATGGTACTTCACGACGCCATACTTTTGTCTACGATAGAGGCAACTGGATACCATACATGCTTTTTTGTACTTTTGAAGCAGCCGCATAGCCAAACTGTTTTTGTGCTTTTGATCCAAATCATAGCACACATAGGGTGTCTTTGGATTTCTGCCTTAGCTGGAGCCTGGCTAGAATTAGAGCCTAGTTAGGCTAGGTCTGTCTCCAGCGAGCCAACATGAATATGTTTGGTTGGATTGCTATCCCTGATCCGTCAAGATGGCAACGGGTACCCGAAACCCGAGTACCCGACGGGTTTTACCCGATAAGGAAGCGGGTATGGAAGACATTTTGCACCCGCGGGTACGTTATTGGATGAATTCTTGTACCCATCGGATATGCGGGTACAGGTGTGGGTGTATACTACCCATACCTGCATACCCGCGGGTAAAAAAACCCGCATAAATAATATCCAACCTCTGCAATTTTAGCTCATATAAGCATATAGCCCATATTTGGCCCATATAAGCATATGAGTATATATATTCCAGAACTCTCTCAAACCCTAATCCTCATCCTCACTCCACTCCACCGGCCCATATTTCTGTTTTGCTGCTCTATTGTTGATTTGTTTTGCTGAAAGCTATTATATTTTTGTGTGTGAACTCGGGTATATTGTCGGGTAAGAATTACCCGTCGGGTAAGAATTACCCGTCGGGTGCGGGTATGGAATGAATTTTCTACCCGCCTGCGGGTACGGGTAACCCGACGGGTAAGATTTTGATCTGGTGGGTGCGGGTACGGGTGGCCAGTACCCATCGGGTACGTACCTGTTGCCATCTTGACTGATCCGGTTTCCATAAGAGTTTGTTTGGTGGCTTGTTTTGCCATGCATAGAATCACCACGATCTTTAGACTGCTATGGTTACCTCTATGAAACATTCTATCGAACATGTACGGGGTGGTGCTGCTCTGCCATTGCTGCTTCCTGTCGCACAAGCAAGGAAGCAACCTGAGGATGAAGACGAAGGCTGGGAGCCAGCAGCGGCTGGAGCTGGAGGGTTCGACAGATCTCTCAAGGAGCAGCGGTCCAAGGTGTACATCGCCATGAGATGCTTCGTGATGCTTTTCATGTGGCCGTCGGACGAGCAATACGCGCCCGCACATCGTGGTCAGCCTGGAGCGGCGTGACCGGCGTCCGGCACTAGCGTCGACCTCCGCACGCCTCCCCCTGCGACTCGAACACGCCGCCGCCGCCGTATCTGTAACAGGACCCTAGCACTGCTACATTCTCTCCTCTCGACCGGTTCCGCCCCCGTGCAGCAGCTCGCCCCTGCCCGCGGCTTCGGCGTGGCTTGGGCGGCGGCTCTGCCCTGCCGCGGCTTGGTCGTCATCGGACTCCGCGGAACCTCCACCTCCACCTCCGGCACCAAGGGACGCTCGGACGCCGGGGACACTCGGGCTCGAGCTTGGAAGCCGGCGAGGAGGCGCTTGTGCAGGCCGCGCAGGAGCAGGGGCGGGGAGGACGGTGGCGGCCATGGCGCGCGCAGGTGCAGGGGCGGGGAGGACGGCGGCCGCCATGGCGCGCAGGGGCAGGGGCGGAGGTGCTCTTCCGGCGGAGGAGCAGGGGCGCGAGATCCGACCGTGGCATGCGCGAAGGCGGAGTACGACGGCGGCCATGGCGCGCTGTTCCGGGAGGTGAGGGGCGTCCGGGAGGTGAGGGAACGAGCACGGGGGCTGGCTCCACTTGATCCTGGGCAGACTAAACTGGTACGGATGGCCAGCTCTAGCTCGGCCCTATCCTACTTTCAAGTAACCAAACAAATCAAAATTGACTTTAGAGAGCCAAACTAGGAGTTGGCTACCGAACCAAACACACCCATACATGTCTACTTTTCTTGCAAATCATGGTACTTTTGGTAAGAGTGCCTACGCAGTATAGATTTCTTATTGAACAAAACCAGACACCTTCGTGCAATGCCCAAAACAGAAGGCTGCGTTCAGAGTTCCGGGGTTCTCTTCAGTTTACTGTTTTTTAGGAAAGATGCAGTTTTTTTTTTTGAACGAAATGGTGCCTTTCAATAATCGGAAAAGAGAGAGATAGTATATGTACAGGAACACGGCTTAAACACCGAACACAGAGGTTCCTCCTCCCACCACACACGCGCTTCTATATTGAACTAAGCAATCTTTTTTTTTTGTTTTGTTTTTTTTTATAAAAGCAGAGAGGAAAGAGTACTGCCCACCTACTATATGCTCTGGAACAGCAAAGCACTCGATGTTCAACCATGATAGGAGGTTTTACATATGTAATAGATTCAAGACATAATGGAAACAAAGGTGTTACACCAATATGTGATTACATAGCTATCACCACATGGAAAGCTTCTCTAAGCAATCTTTTTCCCCAGGGAAAGATGCAGAGTTTCTCATGAAATACTTTCTTGCAATTGCTATCCACATAGCATTGGAATATACTGCTGCATTTGAAATCTTTTGTATGAACACTTGAGTGTGCAACTTTTTTATAGCAAGTGTGGCCTGATTCCTCTGTTTTTGTGATGAAGCCAGATTTTTTTTCCATTATATGTAAAAAAAATTAGTTTTTGAGTATTAATCTGCACCTTTTAAGCTCTGCTGCCTGTAACATTCAGTTCCTCCTACCTCTGTTCTACAATTTGTCATGGCCTTTTACTTCCCTTAAAGGTTCCATTCTTCAACTTGCATTCCTAACCATATCTCATGTTCCTTTCCTTGAATTGGCAGTGCTATTGCAGAGTACCTATCTCAGGATCTTTCCTATCAGCTTTCACCAGACAATATTTACCTCACTGCTGGATGCTGCCAAGCTATTGAGGTCATCATCTCTGTCCTTGCTCAGCCTGGCTCCAATGTCTTGCTTCCCAAACCTGGGTTTCCAATGTACAAGTCGCGGACCATGTTCAGTAATCTAGAGGCCCGACATTTCAACCTTATTCCTGATCGTGGCTGGGAGGCTGACCTTGAGTCTCTGGAAGCTCTTGCTGATGAGAATACTGTTGCGATGGTCATTATAAATCCTAGTAACCCTTGTGGGAGTGTATACTCATATGATCATTTGGCCAAAGTAAGTTTGTATATTTCTGAGACAAATATTTCCTACGATGTGTTCCCTGTTTGTTATATTACTCAAATTTCCAATGATGAAAATGAACAGATTGCAGAGACTGCAAGGAAACTTGGAATAATAATCATAGCTGACGAGGTATATGACCATTTGGTTTTTGGCAATAAGCCTTTTATACCAATGGGTGTCTTTGCGGATATAGTTCCAGTGATCACCTTGGGATCTATATCTAAAAGATGGCTTGTGCCTGGTTGGCGACTTGGTTGAATAGCAACGTGCGACCCAAATTGTGTGTTAAAGGAAGCTCAGGTAAACATTTGATCTGTGTTCTTGTGTATTCCTTTGGGCTGTCAATTAAAAAGCAGCTACCTGTACTTCACTCCTGCTCGAGATGTGACATGCACTTTTGAGCACGGGTGAATGGTACATCCAATCTAAAATTACATGCGCGCCCATCCTTTATAGAAAGCACAATTTGATAACTTATAACATCTAGTCAGTTGTCCTGAAAGTTTTCTGATTCAATTTCTACTGGCATATACTTGACAGATTTAGTGTCTCTTTCTGGTTACGTTGATAAAGTTTTCCAAATAAAGAATAGTTGGGTGTAAGGTGTTTTCACAGGTGTTGATAAAACTAAGTAGCCAAGGGGATGTCTCTCCCGATGGTTCAGTTTTTTAGATAAAACTACAAAACACTACTATATCATGAGTTCATGACAGGGATTTGCTGAAGCCGTGCAGTACTGCTGTTGGTGACCTTTTTGAATCCTTGGACTTTATCGATAGTGATGTAATAAGATCTCCAGTCTCCACAGATTATGGCACTTCGATATTCAAATGGTTTCCTTTTTATGGACAAGCCACTAAAATATATGATAAAACCAAAGTGATGTTTGTGTCCTAGTTACTTGATCTGGCAATATAATTTGATGCACTAGGTGCTGTGATAAATTTAAAGGGATGAAGCAAACAAAAAACTCTGCCAGGTTCACTGGTGGAATGAAACTTTTGGAAGGCAGAAATAAGCTTTCTGCAATATCCTTTATCAAAAGTGTCATACGAGTAATTGAAATTAGAAAATAAATATTAGTCTGACATATCTAACATATTGAATTGGTGAAGAAATTCTTAATACTGTTCAATTGGTCTAAAAAATATGAAACATTGTTCTGGATAGAATTATGACAACTATCCAAGCTGTGAACCCATACAAAACTATGATGTTAATGTTGCCACCTAGAACTCTGCGTTTCTGGACCAAATAATCACATAAATATTTGTAGTTTATTTTTCCTATTCATTAAATGTTAATTCAACTGTGGGAACCTGGAGAATTGCCAATGGTCAATTATGCTGCTGTGAAAAATATGAATTTAAGTAATACTGTAGTATACTGGATATTTTAATAGACATTTCATTCGTACTAAATCTTATTAATGAAGCCTGTATTTTTTGAGGCTCCTATATTTTAGTTGACTGGTTATTCATTTTGTACCATTACATTCTTTTACAGGTTGACAAATTGATTGAAAACTATATGAATATCACAAATGATCCGGCAACATTATCCAGGTATATTTGTATACATTTTTGTTGAACAATATTTTTAGAAGAGCTTGTGTTTCAGCTGATGTCAAACTTATGGCTAATTATGTCTTACAGGGTGCAGTCCCTCAAATAATAGCCAACACAAAGGAAGATTACTTCAACAAAATACTTAATCTTTTGAGGAACTCTGCAGATTTATGTTATAATAAAATAAAGGAGACTAGGGGCATCACATGCCCTCACAAGCCAGAGGGATCAATGTTTGTTATGGTAAACAGATTCAGTAACAGAAATGCTTTAGATGTAATGCTCCTTGTATCAATCATAATAGCTTATGATCCTTGTTTTACAGGTAAAATTGGATCTCTCCTGGTTGGATGGCATCCAGGACGATTTGGACTTCTGCTGCAGGTTGGTGAAAGAGGACTCTGTAATAGTGTTACCAGGTATATTGGACTTCCATACGTGTGTTAATTTTAGTTGCTTCTTGTTTCTGTTCTAGTTAATACAACTGTTCTGGTATCGTCTGCCTAAAGTCCCTCACTGAGGTACATGGGTAAATTTGCAGGAAGTGCACTAGGAATGAAGGACTTCCATACGCTACGGATGTAGGATTCGTATCAATTTCGTTACGGATGTACCTACTCTTGAGAATGCCCTTGAACGGATCAAGTCCTTCTGCCAGAGGCATGCTAAACTAGAAGCATAAACACAGACATGATCAAGCTATTACGTTGTTGTGCTGAATCACTCTTGTCTCAGCTATTGCACCGGTCTCGTGAATGAGCAACCAAGCGTTGCATCACCAGAATGTTGTTAACAAACGATGGTCATGCTGTCAATAATGTGACGAAATTAATTGATTTGCCTTACTTTTACGTTGGTGCACTATTCCTGTTTGGCTTAGATAATCCATACAGGGAGTACCTCATGTGCAGAAAATATGCCAAAAGTTTCTCGGTTACAGTTGATTTGAATACGAAAGATGTTAGAAAAAGGGCATACTCCCTCTGTCCGTAAATATCTGTCGCCACGATTAATGTGCCGATAAGTTTGACTAGATTTGTAAAAAATATTAATAACTGTAGGCCTTTATGATTAACTATAGATTGATTGATATTATATTAGGTAAGGAGATCCCACGGTGGTCGTGATTCAATAAACCAACCCGATCCTCTTTGCCTATATATGTAACCTGCCTATTAGCCTCCTAATCAATCTATCAAATCCAATTGCCTTCATGGTAACAGTCGCCTAGGTTTTTTCTTAAGTGCGCTCCAAGTGGTTGAGCACCCGTGCACCCGATCGGATGCGCCTCCCACCCCATGCCTGCCCGGCTGTGCCTCCCTACCTACTGCCATGCCTGGTTCCCTCCCTACCTCTCCCTCTGTTGCTGATGTCGCCGCCGCGCAGGCTGCTGTGGCCACGCGCGAGGCCAAGGAGCGTCTCCGCCAGCAGGCGGCTGCCTGGGACGCCGCTCATCAGCATGCCCAGGAGGTCGAGCAGGAGGCCGTGGCCGCCCGCGCCCGTGATGCGCTCACCCGAGCCGCTCGCGAGCGGGAAGCGGGCGACGCCGCTGTCGAGCCAGAGGATGATGCCGCCTCCTCTGTCAGCGCCGGTGTCGACGGTGGCTCTGCTCAGCCGCTCTGGGACGCTCTCCTAGCGCACGAGGCCACCGCCATCATCAACCTCCACGCCCAGGCCGTCGCCATCTAGAACATCCGCGCTCTTGTCCATGCCATCCTCGACATGGAGAGCAACAACTACACCTGCTGGCGCCACCAGATGCTCCAGGTCCTTGGGAAAATCTCCCTCCGGTGCCATGTCCTCGCCGACACTGCTGACCACACTACCCCGACTGGGAGCGTATGGACTGTGCGGTCATGACGTGGCTCCTCAGCACTGTCTCTCCCGACCTCGAGGAGATTGTTCAGGACGACCATGCCACTGCCATTGCCCGCTCCGCCGCATTGGAGCACCAGTTCCTTGGCAACCGTGAGCAGCACGCGCTCTACCTCGACGCCGCCTTTCGAAACTTCATCCAGGGCATCTCTCCATCATTGACTACTGCTACAAGCTCAAATCCATGGTCGATGCCCTAGGCGACTTGGGCGATGTTGTCACTGACCGTTCGCTCGTCCTCAACCTCATCCGCGGCCTCAACGAGCGCTTATCGGCATGCACCTCGAGCATGGGTGCCCATTCCCCACCTTCCACTACACCACAGCCCCAGAATAGCGACGTACTGTTGGTATAGGTCGATATAGCAACGCTACTTCGGTCGGTATAAATCTATGCCGACACTTACTTGCAGCCGCTGAAAGTGGCGTCGATATAGCCTACACCGACCGACAAGTTTTTAGCGACCGACGGTCTAACGCCTTAGAGGCTACATATACCGACACATAGTTTGAAGCTATAAATACTTTTAGCAACTAACAGTCCAACGCGAATCATTCACACAGAGACAATATATATGTTGCTAATCAACAGTACATACTAACCTAAAAATAATCTATTATTAATGCACATGCATTCATTACAAGATATATTAACCATAACTGATTCATTCATATATGAGTAGCCCAATGTAAGGTCGGTCAGATTCAAGATCATAAGTACAAAATAGATTAGAAGCTCGCAAACATGAAGTTTGTGCATGAGCAAGCCATCAACATCCCTAGATCTACCTCATGTGACCAAAAGTCATACATCCACCACTTGTAACCAAAAGCTTAGCTCACTAACACCTAAAGCTCAATGCTCAAATTTCACTATCAGTGAGCTCACAGTCTTATCTCTAATAGGTTCAAAACAAAACACAGCTTCGATGAGCCCTTTTAACTTGTCGACACCATCAGGTACGCTGCCTAGGCCTTGCAGGATGGCTGAAATGCAATATGAATATCCAATTAGCGACAATTTTTACCAAAGTTGGAGAAAGACAGCCAATAAGATAAACTCCAAGAGGTTCTCTAAAATTAATAGCCAAATTTCATAAAAAGGAAACTTCAATGTCGCAAACCATTGTAAATGAAATAAATAAGTAAACTGATAGTACCTAACTCAAAGCAATATACAGATTTAGTATATGGGCTGGCACTGGAGGTTAGCATATAAGATGATGAATTCAACATAGCCTATACATGCTGATATAACTAATAAAATAAGCATCAGCATGTAAATACTTAATATGCAGTGCCAAAAACATACACGTTTATGAGAGCACCATAACTAGCAGTTTCACAGGATGTATACCCTCGTTTTTTCAAACAGTGTAGCTGTACAGGAGGAACAATCATATGAACACACAAGCAGCAGTATGTGTACCAAAGATCCTGCCTTGTACTAGAGGAAGAATCATATGATTCATATGAACACACGCAGAGAGCAGCATCACGCAGCAGTACCAAACACGCAGGCAGCAGCATATCAAACACTAATAGAACCACAATACTGAACTTTACCTCATCTTGCAATAAACAGATTGTCCATGTTTCTTTCCCCTTCTCCACACCTGAAAAATGAATAAAAATATCCTTCAAACAGTGCAGAAAAATATCTTCAAACTTTGATATGTGTCAGGTGCAGAGCTAGGAATAATGCTCATATACGCAGAAAAATTAGTAGTTAATGATGTGACAAGTAACAGAACATGCTATAACTTGAAGTGGCTAGGCTCCAGGTATTGACAGGAAACATGCATGGAAGGCTATGTTTGATTTAGTTGGAGGTTTTTTTATGGGCAACATATCATGTGCAAACCAACTAACCCGTGCAAACTTGAAAACTACCAATCAGGACCACTGGATGCTGATCCAATGGATAGGGTGAGGGGGCTTAAGCGCAAAAAAAAAGGACGGCAGGTGGGGGGCTTAAGCGTAAAAAAATCCCACCTCTCACCCCATTCATTGGATCAGCATCTAGGGGTCCTGATTGGTAGTTTCCAAGTTTGCACAGATTAGTTGGTTTGCACATGATACGTGGCCTTTTTTATGTGAGTATGATCTAGAAGCTATTTTATCTCTGAGCAAACTTGTCAATCACTCATGCATAAAAAACTCTGGTGCTGCAGTAGTCGATGGAAGCAGGTTAATTATGTTAAACAAAATTAGAGGATATGGTTATCTACAACACATACATGGACAAAATTTCAAATGCAGGTACTAGATTTAGCAGCCACCCCTAAACTGTTATTTATTTGGAGGTTGTCAAGATGAAAATCCATAACTTAAAGAGATGAAAGCAGTTCATGAAAATCTGAAAATTGTCATAATTCATATACAAATGCGAATTAGGGCATTGTGTGGTTTAAATCATATAATATGTGAATTTTACTAAAAATATTTGTTTCAATTACTTGAGCTAAATATATCATAATAAGCTGCCATTTTGCATTGCTAGTTGGCCATTTTGTAAAGCAATTACAAATGAGAACAACAAACATTAGACAAAGCTCAGGATGTTTCTGCAGCTGTATCAAATTACATATATTTTATATTGCTAGTTGGCTAGACTTTCTAAGTAAAACAACAGAGAAAGCAATGGCATGAACTTCAGTATGTGCTTACATAAAAAAATCCTGCTACACAAGATCATTGCATATGCTCTAAAAAATCATACTCCATTCTAATTGTGTTATCCAATATGAGATTGAGGACGCACCGGCCGTCCCTGCCAAAACAACTGAGAGCTTGGAATCAGCCAAACTTTGTTATCCAATATGAGATTGAGGACAGCAAGCTGAACTTGTACAGACGAAGAGTGATTGTAGTGTATCAACATCACAAATAGCTATTTGATGAATGTAAAAAATGCAAGGGCCCACATTGAGATAATATAAAATCATAGGGCAACACATGCTGCCCTACATTTCAGATCAAGATCTATACAATTTAATTTCTACCTCCTATAAACAAACACAAGATTGACGATTTACATAATAAGGAAATCCTACACACTCAACTAAACTATCGATCAAGGCCTCCAAGGACTAACTGGGTTAATGTGCAAATTATGAGAGTAGCAACCTTTGACTCCACTCCCAGTCCCACTGAACTAACTGGTGCATGAACACATTTTAGAACACCCAATCCATCATATCTGCAACAACAGAGACAGTGGGAAGGAACTCATGTTCTTGTCACACCTGGGTAGGAGATGTTGGCGTCGTAGTGCTGCGCGCCCATGACGGTCTCGATGCTTACGGCGATGAGGTCATGGGACTGGAGGCTGTAGCACATTCCGCGGGTGCCCATGGTTTACAAACCTGTGAACCATTTGTGAGCTGACTGGAGAGCATGTACTATCAGTGTAAGAAGACCAATTGATTCTGAGGAAAACAGGCAGCAGCCTCTTTGATCACCTGTGTTGTAATCAAGTTGGCTGCCCCACGGTAAGCAAGAAGCATGAAATTTGGAAAGGATATTTTGTTCTACACTGCAATAGAAGTGACAGCGTCTATGGCTTTGTTTGGTGCATGTAAAGTTTCAGTAGCCTAGACTCATATAGTGTGTATTTTCTGGTAATCAATTGGGCATTATGGATTGTAGATTTAGGTTATATGGAGTTCTTGTTAGAAACAAAGCTTGACGTCATCTAGTATTGAACTT